GAGTTAAAATCAGAACTCATGTACACCTAGAGCAGAGGTTCTCAACCTTCCTAATGCTGCGACCCTTTAATACAGTTCCTCATGTTGTGGTGACCCCCAATTTCATTGTTACAAATTGAACATAATTAAAGCATAGTGATTAATCACAAAAACAATATGTAATTATATATGTGTTTTCTGATGGTCTTAGGTGACCCCTGTGAAAGGGTCGTTCAACCCCCAAAGAGGTCTCGACCCACAGGTTGAGAACCGCTGACCTAGAGGGTCCCAAAGCCAAATGCTCTTTGCAGTTTGTAGTCTAGTCAGCAATTTGTGGCCTTCGTTCTAGATTCCAATAGAATATGCATGGTATGCTTTCAAAAATAATACTCACTTGGTCTTCTGCTCTCTACAATCATCAACACAGATGATCAGGCTGAGTCTTATTATCCCAAGGTTCAGGTTAGGTTAAATCTTGACAGAAATGACCAATGCTCACAGAATTTTCTGAAGGAGATACAGACATCTTAGTGTTGCTAAAAAGAAAAAAAGTTTTCATCTAAGCTCCAATTCAATCACTATACATTTACTGAAGACTAGGGCTCAAATGTGTCAACTTTTTAAAATGCGATTGAATAAAAAAAAAATAATGTAGCTATTAAGAGCTTCAGTTCTATAGCCACAGTTGGTACCTCTTTTAAAATCCTGATTCTGACACCTGCCAGCTATATAACCTGGGTATGTGGTTTAATCTCACTGAGTGATTTCCTCATCTATGAAAATAATAATATGGTCTACCTTATAAGATTTTGGTGATTAAATGAGATAACCTTAGAAGCACTTTGCACATGGTGAATGTTTCAGAAATGCTAGGGAATGTGAGCCTGAATAAGATACAATGGCTGCTGTCAAATATGTCAAAATTTAGCTAGAGAAATAGGTATATAAAGAAGGAAAAACCATCTAGTGTTCATAAATGTCAAGCTCAGAGTATACACTGGATAGTCCATGGGAGCATGAATAGAAGGGCATTTAACTTTGTCTTCGGACTGAAGACAGGAACATACTTGCTACAGGAGAGGAAGCCCAAGAGGGTGTCTTCAAGAATAAAGACTAATGGAAGTTATCTACACAAACCAAAGCGGAAATGGTAAAAAGTAAGCATTTCCAGGCCTTGACCTAGCATGTGTAAAAGCTTGGCAGTAAGAGAATGCTAGCAGGATATGGATGAAAATAGTGAAAGGGATAAAGAAGTACAAATTTCCAGTTATAAAAATAGTCATGGAGGTGTAAATTATAGCATAGGGAATATCTTTAATAATATTGCAATAAATATTATTCTAAGTGGGTTCTAGACTTACCGCACTTTGTAAGGTATATAAATGTCTAATCACTATGTTATACACCTGAAAGTAATACAGTATTGAAAAATAAATTTTAAAAAAGAGAACACCAGCAGTTTAGGGAGCATGAAATGGGTATGGGACACTGGGGACCATGGCAAGAATAAACAATGGAGAGGGATGAAGGCAGATCATGCAGGCCTTTGGATCACATGCTAAGAAGCATGGGTAATGGGAATCCATTTAAGGGTCTTTAAAAAGGCAAGAATGCAGTGAGATTATTATATTTCAAAAGATTACTCTGGCCCAGCATAATAAATTGCAGGGAGCAAAATTAGAGAGATTAAGACCAGGTGAGTAGTGCTGGTACATTGTACCAAAATAATGGTTCGTGGGGATAAGAAAGAAGATGGGTTTAAGATGAGTTTGGGATATAGATAGAACTTGGTGACAAACTAAGATAGAATTAAAGTAGGATCAAAGAAGCTCCCAAATTTATGGTTTGGACAGTTGGGCCAGTGCTGGATTACCCAATAGCCAGAGTAAGCATGTGCTTAATCAGGTGTACCCAAAATGTGGAAACATTGATTTGGGGTATATTTTTTTAAAAGACTTAATCATTATAGTAATATCAGAACTCTTTAGATTTCTTTACTTTTTAATGCTTTAGTATTGTTTTTATTTAAATTAAATGTCAGAGAGGGGGTGATCCTAATCTTTTCATTACTTAGAACCTCCCAAAGGAGAAGGAGTATAAGGCCTTAATCCTTCTCTGATCTGGGTGGTTAGTGGTATCATTTCACTAAAACATGGACAATGGAGAAAAAGCAAGTTTTGGCTCCCTGTGTCTTTTATGCTTAGCCCTTGAGCAATGGGAATGGCATGATTAGGCTGGTAAGGGACTGACAGTCAGGCAGCCTTCAAGGGAGATACCATTAAGGCAGTTCACATAGCTCAGATCAAATGGAGTATTTATGTCTAAATCAATATGCTTCAAATGTGCAGCCAATACTAATGGAGAAATAGGGAGAACTTATTTTCTGGCAAGAGAGATGATGAATGCAAGTTGATATAATAATTGGAGTTATAGATTAAGCTATGGGCTCTTAACCTGGAGTTCAGGAAAATTGTGAACTTATAAAATTACATTCAAAATTGTGTATGTATGTATGTATGTATGTATAGTGCATTTTTGTGGGCAGAAGTTCTATAGCTTCAGATTGTTCAGAGTGGTCTTTGACCCCCAAAAGATCACCAACCACCAGGAGTAGATTTACTATGAAGTAAATAAAGCTTCTTCTTCAGAGTTTTTCACTTGCCTGGGACCCTTCTAAGCCCCTAGGAGGAGCCCTAGTAATTTTTTTTAATTTTAATTTTTTTGCTTAGAGGATGCATTCCTTTTAAATTATATAAAGTGTCTGGTTCCACAAAAGATGGATGTATCCCCTGCCAGCCATAGAATAGGGAATTATGTAATATTATTTAATATCCAGAAGTGGATGCCATCCCAGAGAAATGAATGTACAGAAAAGATTGTAAAAGGCCAAAGAGTGCACTAATGCAGAAGGAGAAGCAATGCCAATTAAATAAAGAATTGTCACTGAAGGAGGAGGAGACTGAGAGCACATTGTCAAAGAAGTAGAAAGAGAGATGGTTAGCCATGTCCAACATGAATGGGAGATCAGGAAAAATAAAAATAAGGAAATGATTACATGAGTAGCTAGGACACCTTCAAGGAAGTGGCAAGAACAGAAAGTTGGTTGTTCTATTTTTGCCTTTCTGAACAAGTAAAAATGGTAGTTGAATAAGTGTAAATGGTAGCTATAGTCCATAAACATTCAAGAAGATGAAAGTACCAACAGAAAACTCTAAACTTCACTATTCAGTTAAGATACGGTCATCAATAAAGTATGCTCACTGCCCAGGCAGGTGTGACTCAGTTGGTTGAGCATCGTCCCATGCTCAGAGAGATCGCCAGTTAGGTTCAGGACAGTGCACATTCCCTGGTTGCTGGCTTGATCCCCAGTAAGGGGCATGCAGGAGGCAGCTGATCAGTTTCTCTCACATTGATGTTTCTCTCTCTCCCTCTCCTTTTCTCTTTCTCTAAAATCAATAAAAATATATTTTAAAAAATAAAATAGTCTCACTGTAACATTGAGATCTATACTGAAGTTAAGTTAGATGGTACATATGTACTTTTCAAAATGGGTCCTAAATGTGTTCCATGGTCAGGCAAAGGCTTTGAGTGACCCTTGTCCAGCTCCTAATCCTGTATCCTAATCCTCTCAGTACTTGAATTTCCATATTTCTGCCCCATATCTCTGTCCCCTGACAGGCGATATGGACCAGTCAGAGAGGGCAGAAAGAGAAAAGAAGCCATAAGAATGACATTCAAAACTAAAAGGCTTTGAATTTAAAATTATACTAGGTAACCCGCAAAAGTAGTAATTCATTTATGGTTAATTAAATGTCTGAAATTCAGACCAAGGAAACATCTATTTGAATCAGGATGTTCTAATTGACCACCCTGGCACATCTGAAGTTGATTGAGCATACAGATTCATACTGACTGGCCCAGTATTAGGAGTGTGAGTATTATTTTTTGAGGGTGAATTTCAGCCTTACCAGAGAAACATGCTCAAATCTGCTTATATGTCTATTATGGAAGCTACTAGATATCATTTTACAATATTTTCACACTAACTTCTCTGGGATCACTTTCAAGATGGACTGATTTCATTACAGTTCCCAAGTTAATTTCTTCAGTGATTGTATTTTTAAAGGCTTTTGGCTTATCTATTGATTTCATGTTTATAATTGTCATTATGAAAAAATCTGCTACTTGAGGACAATGATTTTGAATGGCTAATAGGACAGAATATAACAGGGACATGGAAAATAGCTGCAAACTAGAATGACTAAACCAAAATAAAATAAAATAAAATAAAATAAAATAAAATAAAATGAATGACTAAACCAAGGAAGTGGTTTGAGGTTTCTAAGAACTAAATAAAATTAATTCAGTAAAAAGCAGTAAATTTTTTTTACTAGCAAAATTATAGGTAGGAAATGATTAAAAACATTTCTAATGATAAAGAAAGATTTGTAATATTATTGATTTGCAATATTATTCGTGTTGAAAGAAGATCAAGAGTCTATTAAGACATGCTTTATAATGTAAACATGTAAATGAAAGATGCGCTAGCTACTTTATAATTAACTATGGTTAACATGGAAGCAATTCATAACACCTTTATAGATAGCATAAGCAATTTTCTTTTCTATTATTTTTCTTCTAATGGTAAGCCTTGGCTTGACTTGAGTGTAATGAATTTATTCTTTAGTAAGCAGTATTTGATTCAACAAAGCCAGTTAAACACAATAACCTAGATACCTGGTGGTTACATCATTAGACTGGTAGAGGACATAAATGAGTTTGAGTGCAGATTTTGTTTGGATTGGATTTTGGAAATTTAAATTTTTTAGACATAATAACTTTTGTCCAATTGCCAGCCACTTCTGCAAATAAAATTATAATTTCTGTAGCTAAGTATTGTTAAAATTGTGTTCAAAGCAACTGTCTTTCAAATTTTTAACTGTTTTAGATTAATCTAATTGTACAACTTTTGAATCCAAAACTGTATCCCAAATAAATGCATGTTAACATTTTGCCTTTAGCCAATAAGAAGAAAGAGAAAGAACGCCCAGAGATCTCTCTTCCTTCAGACTTTGAACATACGATTCATGTGGGGTTTGATGCAGTCACTGGGGAATTCACTGTAAGTAAGCTTATTTTGTTTTGTAAGCCATGAAAAAATCCTTTATTATAATAGGATTTTATAATAAATCAAGAATTTCCATGTGCCAAAATGTCAGACTTGAAGTTTTTGATGGAAAGAATATTGGCAAAATAATTTTGTCCACCTTAACAAAAAAGTTTGATGGCTGTATAGTCTTCAACTTGATTGAAAATACTAATTTACCATTGCATAGAAGAGGTAATCCTAGTAGTTAGACCCTGCTTGATTATGCCTATTCTTTGTCATTTGAAGTTAATCAGAGAATCATCAACTAGACTTGGACAGTGAAGACAATCTTTCTGAATAATTCAGGCTTTACGTTGGAATCTGGATTAATCAGATCAGCTAACCACATACACTAACAGCAAACAAACAAACAAACAACTCTGCAAAATTGACCTGTTTTTCTCTTTGAATTTAAGAACATGCTTATTTTTAGGCTTAACAAGTATATTTTATAGACATTGAAAAAACAAATTCCATGCTTCAGGAAGGAATATTGATGGATATAATATTGTGTATGCTTTAGTGGTTATATATATACCACAATAAATACCAATAAGAATTTTCTAGAAAAACCCACATATCTATAGTGCTCAAATAGCACAGGATCTCAGATCAATGGCATTTTATACTTAAGATCTGACTAAATTTTTTTAGATGGAAGAAGGAAAAGATGTGGCTAGAAATATGTACCTGGAAGATAAACTATCTTTCCCACACTAGTAAGGAACTCAGTCACAATGTACATTCTGAGATGAGTAATTTTCAATGCATTCAAACAAAACATCTCTGATAGAACCATCACAATTGATTCATGGGTTCTTAAGCCAGAGTTAAATTTAGATATTAAATAATCTCCTTTTATGTAACATGATGGTTAGTGAATAGACTATTGTATGATTAAATGAAAGAGATGACAAATTAAGTTAATTCGAAGAAGCAGACCATATCTTTGATTGACAGCCAAATTATACTATTTTTTTCAATTCAGGAAGTAAGCAATATGAGAATGAAATGGAAATTGGGTAAACATCTTGAACTTAATGATGTGAGCTAATTATTTCTATGTTCTCAGTAGCAAGAAGAGAACATTAAGAAATACTGACATTGACAAATTTAAGATACTGATAGGATTTAACCAATTTTACTACTGGAGTCAGAGACATTATTCAAATGGCCTTGTGTTTGAGCCCAGCTTCTGTTCTTTACTATATGTGATAATATTCTCTCGGCTATACCTAGGAAATATATTATTGTCACCACTATGACCACCATCATCACCACCAAATAATATTTTTTATAATTTGAGCATGATAATATTATTTTTAAAAAGTCATAGAATGACTATTTTATTACATAAGTAACAGTAAAACACTTAAACTTTATAAGTTTTGTCTGATATCTCTTCCCTTTTTTATTTGATGAACTTTATTTTTCCAGTTTTTGACCTTTTCATGTTCCATGTGCGTTCCCTCTGCTTAAATTTCTCTTATGTTTTACTATCATTTTGTATTTTTCTTCCTTTTCCCTTTCTGATGTAAAAGTTTCCTCCTTCACCATTCTCACGTGACATTCTGTTTCCTTTCCAATTTTTTCCCCTAATTTTTACAACTTGCTTGAAATCTTATACAATCTATCTTTAGCTCTTTCTTGTTTCTTTATGGGTTCTCAATGGAAATGAAGGAAAGTAAATAATCATCATCTTGCTGACTGCAGTCAGCCAATTTCACTTGTCTATCAATTAGAACCCAGAGAACCAACCAGAGAGGGATAGAATGGGACATGTGGCAGGCAATCTTTTTCATTGTAAAGTAGAGTTTGATGCAACAGAACCAAACAAAACAAAAACCTGTCCCTTCCTACCAAAAACCCAATTTGAAATAAAGCAGTTGTTTGGATGCAGTTATCTGTTAGAAATCCATTTGAATATATTGATAAGACACAGGCTAAATTTGAAAATCTGATGCATTTTATTGTCATCTTGATCTTTTACAACTACTTGTCCACATATTATTTTTAAAGATGCCAAATTCTGCCTCTTTTTTTTTACCACCTTAACCTATTTTTTAAATTTACAAACTAAACATACAAAATGACAATAAACTTTAAAAAATAATTTTATTGGGCCCTGGCCAGGTAATTCAGTTGATTAGAACATCATCCCTATACACGAAGGTTGGGGGTTCGATCCCCACTAAGGGAACATACAAGAATCAACCAATGAATACATAAAGTGGAACAAAAAATCCATCTCTCTCTCTCTCTCTCTCTCTCTCTCTCTCTCTCTCTCAAATCAATCAATATATATTTTTTAAAAATCATTTCATTGGTAGGAATTAAAATTGGGTCCTAATTCCACAGTACCACTAATTCATTGTGTGCATAGCTAATTTGATTATTGCAGTTGTTTACATTGAATTTTGAGCAATATAGTCCAACTGTCTTACAAGGTATTGTTATTTTGAATATTTGGACACTGATTTGGTGTGTTGCTTGGTGATTATCCTATGGCTAATTGGCCCCTATAACCGTGTGCACCTGTTTATATACTTGGACCCTGATATTAAAATTACGTTGGGAGGTGAGATTTGGGGTATTGAATTATGACAAGTCCTTACCCTTTATATTGCCATTTTTGTCCCAAATACTTCAGAACTCCCCCTTCCAGACCTCTAGACCTGTGACGGTCGCTTCAAGTCAATCAGAGGGAAAAATGGTATGAGTGATATAAATTATCATTTCTTATGATAAGATAGATGCTTGGCCTGTTGTATCATGCTGCCATTCTCCTGGGCTATACTGGCCAATCCCCAGCTTGATGTACATCTAGTTGTTATTGTATATATGGCCAGGCATTTATACATGCTTCTGCTTCTGATGCTCTCACATCCAGGTCTCCATTAGCTGTCTAACTTTTGGGATTTGTACCTCAATTTGGAATAATGATATGGCTTTCTGATCATGTGCCTTTGTGGCATACATTCAAATTTGAGTGTCAGGTTTCATTGATTAACTGATTTATTTCAACTTAGAAAAGAAAATAGAAATTATGTCAGGAGTGTATTCATGTGGTAAGTAGAGTTATCTGGAGGATCTTCTGCAGTAGATAGCATTTTTTCCCTGTGGTCTAGTGATCACAAGACTATTTATCACAAAAGTTTAGAAGTGCCATGAGAATGTATAATAACTGCAAATATTTGAATGATTATGGTAATGATCATACTAGTGGTTATGTGCAATGCATACCTGGTTTTGTAACATTTAATAACTCCTTTAGCCATTACAGTATTAACCAAATGCTATTAATTGCACTTAGAATCAGAACTGGGATCATGCATGGGCTTCTGAGTTCAAATTTTTGGCTTAAGGCTTTAGCATCAAATTGCGTGATGAATGCATGTAAAAGTGTTGCTTCACTGTGCTTGGAGTAACCCCAAATGCTAGGAATCAAACCATATCCCAAATTAAATCAGTTGAGTCAAAGCATGTTTCTGTAGCATTGGACATATCTTTATTTTGAAAAAGTTGCTACCTTATATCTGATCTTATTTTATAGAAAGCAAGACTTCAGAATTGTAGAATTAAAATTGAAATTATTCCTGTATCGTTTGAAATGAATTGTTTTCCCTTTCCCTGGCCTAAATGTCTAAGAAATTCAAATACAGAGTCTGGCTGTGTAGGAAATCCTCCATCTAGTTTTCTCTAAGCCAGCCATGATTTTATCTACAAAATACAGAAGAATCACATCAATGAAAGTAAATGTTAAATTCACCATCACCCTATAGCCATACTTTGAATTTTCGTCACATACACACTTCCAATATGAATCTGAAAGTGATTAACTAGAATTGGAAACTGAAATTTATAAGTTCATCTCATGGCCATTGGCTACTTGTGATGGATCACCCGTTACAAAAACAACTTACAAATTATTAATTAAACTGTTCATAATGCCATCCTTCTTCCTTCCAAATTCATGTTTCTACCTTTTAGTAACTTCTTCAGTCCTTTAATGATAATTCTTATTAGTGTGTATTTATGGAGGAAGCATCTGGCCAAAAGTGAAATTATGCATCCAAACTTTGGAATATTGTTGTTTTCACTGTTTTTTAAATATATTGCACTATAGTCTGTCCTGCCCCTGATTTAGTTAATACCTCCCTATTTTTATAACCACCCCACTTTAGATGGGATTATCCCCACCCCATTCAGACCCATTGGTTTCATCTCCTCCCACCTTCTAAGTTGTCCCACATTCTGTTTTAACTTTCTTTTCTTTCTTTATTTACGTCCATTACAGCCAGATCTCTATGGCTCACAGATGTGCCCAGGGAAGCTCCCAGAGGTGCGTCACAGGCCCAAAAGAAGCTTGCATCAAAGTGCTTCTTTGAGATGTCATAGCACTGCAGCAGCAGGTTCATGTGTGTGCAGTAGAGTTGTTGCTTGGCTTATCTCACTTTTTTGTTGTCATTCCCAAACTCTGGAGGCCCACGTCACACATTGTTTTGCCGAGACTTCATAGGACAAAACCACCTAAATTGTATCTAAATGCACTTCAGGAGTAGTGTATCTGTTTTTCACTCCAAATTGCTCTTGGAAGTTGAATAATCATGAAATGGGGACATCTGTAGGCTGAACAACTAGGAAAGAATACTGATTGACTAATGCAAAACTAACCTCTCTATGTAATTTTTGCAATTCTCCATGTTTAGATTTCCAAATACTCCTTCCTCTTTGCTCTAAATGCTTCTGATTATTTCAAATTCTCACAAGGCTTTGGCATGGTTGTCACAGTCCCCAGGTTCTTCTATGTGGCCAGTGAATGGAGTGTGAAGGAGGGGATGAAGGGAGGAGCCGACAAAGCTGCAGGGAAAATGCCCAAAGCAGCATTAATGTTACTCTTTAGTATCTCAATGGTTATTGCTCCCCCACAATTCTGTTGTTGTTTCTTCTCAATCACCCTTTCTATTAAAGCTCTAGACCTCCCAAATTATATTTTATGATAAAAAAGTATGAATTGACTAAGGGTGAGGCTTTCCTTTTATTCTAAAAGATATTCTAATTACAACATGCTGAGAAACAGCTTATATTATTCACAGTAAAATAAAATCTATTGATCTGCACAATACTATGCAGTGCACAAATTTAGAGAAGTCTTGCTATGTCTGCCCTGAGTCACCAGAAAAAATAAGCTAAGCTGTGAACATCATTTCATGGATGAGCAGAGTTAATATGGAGGTGATTTTCATGCACTTTTTTTTTTCTATCACAGTCATACTCCCACCCACCCTTTTTAAGTTGGATCCTAATTTTACCTATGTGTTTTATTTAGAGAAGAGAATGATTGCATTATTAAGTTACTAACTTTAAATCTAGAGTGTAACTTCAGTTTTCCAAGTGAAATTCTACAGGTAGCATGGGCTTCTTGGTGAAGAACTTTACTGGACCAGAAAAATGTAGCTGCTGAATGTTCTGATATGCCATTCTTTGCCTTTGGTTGTCCACAGGGAATTCCTGAGCAATGGGCACGATTACTCCAAACCTCCAACATAACAAAACTGGAACAGAAGAAGAACCCACAAGCAGTTCTAGATGTTCTCAAATTCTATGATTCCAAAGAAACAGTCAACAACCAGAAATACATGAGCTTTACATCAGGAGGTAAGAGTAAATCTAGGATATCATAAAGTAAAAAAAATAATAATTCCAATCTCAGAGCTTCACGATTAGAATACCTGTATGGTATTTGAAGTCAGTTCTAGTTCCTTCTCTGAATGACTTCAAAAGAAGTAAACCAAATGATGAGTTGGAAGTTGAAGTTGATGTTAAGAGATTTACAGTGCTTGGATAATTTTAGAATTGAAATAAGGAAATTGTTCAGTGAAGCAGTAATTGTCAGTTTGAATCAGCAATCACAATTATTGTTTGGTTTCTTCACTGGCATGAAACTCAGTTACTCATGATCAGGCCTTGTGATGTGTCCATGAAGTGAGAAATGTATGGATCAAATCATGGTTTCTTGAAATGTGTTTTATTCTTTAGAATCATCTAATTGAACCATGAGAATGCAGTACAAATGTTGTGGCTGCCAGGTTATTTTTATCAGACTTCAAAATCAGACTTTAAAGAAGAAATCATGGTTTGCTATTTCTAAGAGATTGAAAGGCCATGAGTCTGCCAAATTTCAACTTCATTTGCTAGCTTATAGACCTGGCCTTTGTTTTAAGTTTTGATGTACAAATTTGCACTATAAGCAACTACAATACATATACCAAATGATACTTTTGCATTTTGAGAAATATTATCTGGGTTGCCTCTCAAGAGCAATTTCTTATTTAACATCCAAAGAAAGCAGAGAATACTATCATTAGTGTCCCACCTATAACGAACCCATATCTTTTGGCATTGTTTTTTTCTTTATTGATTAAGGTAATACATATGTGTCCTTATTCCCCCATTCCCCCCCTCACCCCACTCATGCCCTCACTCCCCTGGTGTCTGTGTCCATTGTTTAGGCTTATATGCATGCATACATATCCTTTGGTTGATCTCTCCCCCTTACCCTCACCCTCCCCTACCTTCCCTCTGAGGTTTGACAGTCTGATCGATGCTTCTCTGTCTCTGGATCTGTTTTTGTTCATCAGTTTATGTTGTTCGTTATATTCCACAAATGAGTGAGATCATGTGATATGTATCTTTCTCTGACTCGCTTATTTCGCTTAGCATAATGCTCTCCATTTCCAGGGCAAGCTTGATCTCTTCAACAATGGTACAAGAATACACTTGGTTTCTGATTTGGCCATATCAAATATCAAAGACCAAACTTAAAGACATATGGCAATTTTTATGCTCAATAGGATTCTTTTTAATGAGAAGATTAACTTCTGTTATCCAATGGCAAAAAACCTAAAAGAAGAAAAAAGCCATCAAGGAGAACTTTTTATGATATTTAGCTTATCACATGGAATAAAATATTTAAGAGATCCTGGTGACACATCAAAAAATGTTTAATGTGAAGAAATCTAGAGCTATGCTCTAAGTACACTGTAGAACCATAGGCTATGAGAACCAAAAATGCTTTCAAGAAATCATTTTAGTGTACCCATTAATACTTTTCAGATTCTAAAAATGTGTCTTTATTCCATGTTGCCACTGCTTTTTAACCCTTTTATTTTTGTGTTGAATTCTCTCAACTTACAAAGAATCAATCCTAAAAGTTATGTTAAAACTCAATAGTATCTGATTTATTGCACTATTCTGAGTTGAGTGAAGTGCCACCATATGTTTTCTGGATGCTCTAATGTCACAACTGACTAATAGGTTAGGGAGGGAAAGGAGGAGTAGGGGAGGGGAGGGGAGGGTAGAAGGGAGGAAGGGAAAGGGGGTAAAGGGAACGAGGAAGTGGTGTAAAAATTCTGGATATACACTGATTGTCCAGATTATTATGACCACCTGACGTTTGTAGGCAAATTAGCTATAATTTTGCGCTGAAGTTGCTAGAGGGCCAGACCATTATAAATAGGGAAGCAGGTTGTTTACCACGACAGTAGAAGTTATTTTTTTCTGAAGATATGGGTAGCAACTTCAGAGCAAAATTATAGCTAATTTGCCTACAAACGTCAGGTGGTCATAATAATCTGGCCACTCAGGGTATATGTACAGTAGTCCTCCCTTATCTGTGCTTTTGCTTTTTATAGTTTTAGTTATCCAGGGTTAACCATGGTACAAAAATATTAAATGGAAAAATTCAAAAATAAATTTTAAATTTTGTGCTGTTCTGAGTAATGAAATGAAATCTTGGGTGGTCCTGTTTCATCCCACCTGGAACATGAAACATTCTTTGTTTAGTGTGTCCATGCTGCACACGCTCCCCACCTGTTAGTCACTTAGTAGCCGTCTATGTTACCAGATCAGCTGTTGAGGTATTGTAGTGCTTGTGTTCAAGTAACCGTTATTTTACTTAATCTCCTCAAAGCACAAGAGTAGTAATGCTTGCAATTCAGATATTTCAAAGAAAATCCATAAAGTGATTTAACTGAAAAGTTGTCAACTTAATAGGGAAAGAAAACAACCATATGCTGAAGTTGCTAAGATCTATGGGAAGAATGAATCTTCTATTCATAATTGTGAAGAAGAAATCCATGCTAGTTTTTCTGTCACAACTCAAAATGCAAAAATTACAGCTACATTATGTGATAGGTACTTAGTTAAAATGGAAAAGGCATTAAATTTGTGGGTAGATGACATGAACAGAAAAACTGGGTTCCATAAATCCTCACTGAATGTCTTCCATAGTTTCTTGCAAGTGTGTCCAAATAACATATAATGAAACCAGTTTTACCATAGGCTAATTGATAAAAACAAGAGTTAAGTTTCTACAGCATCTCATCAACATTATAAGAAAACAATGTCTAAAGAAATAATGTTATTCCAGGACCTGCTGTGTGTGTGTGTGTGTGTGTGTGTGTGCGCGCGCACGTGCACAAGGTTTGGTATTATCTCAGGTTTCAGGCCTGAATATATCGATCCCCCACTTTGGGGGGACTACTGTATGGAATCATTGCAATCCAGGAGTAGGTAATCTTAATATTTCTCCATATAGATGAGAATCACTGGAGGCCTTCATTAAAGGTCTATAACATAATGTGGTGATAATATGTTGGTGATGTAAGGGTGTAAATTATAACAAAAAATGTCATTTTCATAATATCTATTTAATAATGAATTGGAGAACTCCCTTCTGGTCAAACACGTGAAGTTTTGTTTGTTTGTTTTTGTTTTTTTAAGTATCGTCTTTAAATAAGGCAGTCTTTATGAAACAAAGGTGACAGCTTTATCTTCACTTTTCAGATAAAAGTGCACATGGATACATAGCAGCCCATTCTTCGGTAAGTGAAACATTTAAAACAGTTTTCTGTAATCAGTGTTTCTGGTAGTCCAATAGAACACAATTGTGCATATCTAGTTTTTTATATATAGAATCTTTTAAAAATGGTTTTTAAAAGTATAATTTAGATACATACTGTATGATTCTACTTACATGAATTACCTAAAGTAATCAAAATCATAGAGACAGAAAATGGTTGCTAGGAGAGGTAGAAATGGGGAGTTATTGTTAACTAGAAGCCCAGTGCATGAAATTTGTGCACTGTGGGGGGGTCCCTCAGCCCGGCCTGCCCCCTCTCACAGACTGGGAGCCCTCAGGGGATGTCCTACTGACAGCTTAGTCCCGCTCCCCATGGAGAGGGGGCCTAAGCCACAGTCTGGCCTCCCTCTGTGGGAGATGACTAGGCTAATCAGGGGAAGGTGCCAGCCCCATCACCCCACTGCTGCTACCACTGCCGGCTGCCACAGCCACCAAGGTGTTTTCATCAACATGGACTCCAGTCCCTTCACCACGAAAAAATGACAAATTTCTTTAGGCATTTTCAAGATGTCTCTTTCATAGGATATGACATTTCTTTTTTTCTTTTGTTTTTATCCTCACCTGAGAATATGTTTCCATTGAATTTTAGAGAGCTTGGAAGAGAGAGGGAAAGACAGAGAGAAATATAAATGTGAGAAGGACACTTTGATTGGTTGCCTCCTGCATGAGCCCTGACCTGGGCTCCAGTCAGGGAGGAGCCTGCAACCTAGGTACATGCCCTTGATCAGAATCGAACCCGGACCCTGTGGTCGGCAGGCCAAGGCTCTATTCACTGAGCCAAACCAGCTAGGGAGGATATGACATTTCTTAGCCCCTCCAGCAGCAGACCTTAGTTTTTTCCTCCAGGAGTGTGGTGGAAAACCCTAGATCACCTTCATGGATTCTTATTACCCAAGTTATCAAGAACACTGCGAGTGGCGGCATACAGGGAGCTTAGCCAATGAGTGGTCAGAAAAAGTGTTTCCTCTGTAGTTCACACACAGAGGCCCTCCTGTGTTGTGTCCGCTGGGGTTGGGGCATGCTCTGAGCTCCACGGTGGCCGCCTGGAGCACACCCCCACCCCTGCATTGTTTCCGCTGGGCTGGGGGCATGCTGCCTGCCCAGATGCCCTCCCTCCTTCCACTGCCAGGGTGCAGAACGCTATGGGCACCACCACCTTTGTGACGGAGTGACATTTAATTTGCATATTACCCTTTTATTAGATTAGATGGGTACAGAGTTTTAATGCTACAAGATAAAAAGAGTTCTGGACATGGATGGTGGTGATGGTTGCACAACAATGTGAATACATTTGACACTACTGAACTATATACTTAAAAATGGTTACGATGTTAAATTTTATGTTATATATGTTTTACCACAATTAACAATAAAATTTAAAAAAAGAATTAAGGCCTTGGACATAGATATTTAGTCTTATTCCTCTTCTTAAAAGCTGAGAACTTTGGGAAAATGGCTTAGCTCCTCTGAGCCTCTCTTTCTTCAGCTTTAACTGGGTATACCCTACCTCCTAAAACTTGTGTGAATATTTAATGTGTTAATGCATATAATATACTTAGTATATTACCTAGCACACCCTATGTGATTATTAATTATAAGCTACTATTACTATTATTTTTTAGATGATAACAAGAGGAAAAACTTATTCTCTTCATAGACAAAGCTTGTGTGAGGCAATGGTACTTGTGTCTTACTCAGATTCTCCAAAGCACAACAGAATATAGCCCTCGTATTCTCACTGGTCATTTCCCCTTCTCATTTTTCTATTCCATGACAACTTATTGGGTCACACTGAAAACAGCATGTGAAGGAAGGTAATAGCAACATGGGAAAAATAAAAATGCCAACCTTCCATGATCAACACATAACTTATGCCCCTTGATTTAATTAATATCATTATTGTGTAATACTGACTAGGTATCCTGGCAAATAAATATTGTTATTTTTTGGTAAGTCAACTATTTAACACATCAATCTGCTAGGATGGTCTGTGTAGGAGTTTTATTTTGTAAACAGTTTATACTCCCTAAGAAATTGGTCTTTTTGAGCTTGCCTCTATTGGTTTTGCTTGTAGAATTAAAACTAAATCTATATAGTGACCAAAATATTTTGCATATCACCCTGATTAGCCAATGGGAAAGGTAGAGGTCGTATGCTAATTACCATGTTTCTCTTTTATTAGATAGGATTTTTATCAAATGCTTCCTTAAAATCACCAGGAAATCTGGAGCTTAGTTTAGTAAGGGAAAAAAGTATAAACATAAACAAGCTCAATGGCTGCTACATATTTATTGAAGATTGAGTTAGAAAATGGTTTATATAAAATGTGGCATTTAAGCTAGATCTTGAAAATCACATGGGATTTGGATCTGTGAAGATGGGGAAGGGCATTCTAAGCACTAGGAAAAGCATGGAAAAGGACGTGATAGTGAGGAGAACAAGGAGAGAAAGGGATGTAGGTTTGAATGAAGACTGAGATGCAAGAAAGGGAATCATCTATATGTATAAAAGCCTAATGACCAAACGACTGGAATGACCAGTAGACCAGTCACTATGACATGTACTGAGCAGCAAAGAGCAGAAGCTTAATGCAGGAGCTTCCCTCTGGTGGTCAGTGCACTCCCACAGCCAACCTCCCATGGCCAGCCAACCTCCCGCAGTCCCTCCCCTTGGTCAGCTGGCCCACCTGATGGCCCCAATCAGGAGGCCAACCGGCCAACCTCCCACGGCTCCTCCCTCCCCTGCTGGCCACCTCCCCTGACCCAGCCAACCTCCTGCAGCCCTGATGGGGACTGGGTGAGACTGTCCCAATTGGCCCTGATCGCCAGCCAGGCGGAGGAAACCCACCCGTGCACAAATTCGTGCTCCAGGCCTCTAGTAGGAAATAAGCCTTGAAAGTTAACTTGGAGCCAAATCATAGAGACCCTTAAATGGTATTCTTAGAGATATGGCTTTTTTCAGTGTATAGTGGAAAGGTTGAAGTTTTTTATATTTTATTTATTTATTTTTTTATAAAGTTTTGTTTTTTGGTTTTTTTAAAATATATTTCACTGATTCTCTACAGAGAGGAAGGGAGAGGGATAGAGAGTTAGAAACACCGATGAGAAAGAAACATCGATCAGCTGCCTCCTACACACCCCCCACTGGGGATGTGCCCACAACCAAGGCACATGCCCTTGACTGGAATCGAACCTAGGACCCTTCAGTCCGCAGGCTGATGCTCTATCCACTGCGCCAAACCTGTCAGGGCAAGGTTGAAGTTTTTTAGAACAAGAGTGTTAAATGATTAAAGCTTATGCTTTGAGAAGAGTAGTCTGACAGCAAATGTTCAGAATGAATTAAGGACAGAAGGTGAGACTGGATGAAAGGAGACCAGTTGAGGGAGTATTGCAATCCCCCAGGCCAGGCGTAATGAGGTCCTGAGTGAGATAGTGGCAGTAGGAATGGGGATCAAATTCAAATTTCCAAGATGGTTAGGTTAATGATTGGATGTTGGAGAAGAAGTTGAGGTCAAAGATGATTGCAGGCTTAAAATGATATGTGGTTGGCCAGAAATAGGGTGTCATCTTTCAGGAGTTGCAAATTTCTATGAGAAAATGCTGAGTTTCCTCTTGGACAGTTTGAGTTTGAAGGGCTGGCAAGACTTCAGGTGGACATATTTGATTAAACTGTTTGACTAAGGCTGTATTTTTATTGACTGAATGAACTGAATTAGACCCTTAAGTTCAGGTTAGATCATTTCTGTGGGACTCAGTTACTTAGGAATGGATAATTGCACCTTGTGTTCTCCTTATTATTCTAAGGCAGTGGTTCTCAACCTTCTGGCCCTTTAAATACAGTTCCTCATGTTGTGACCCAACCATAAAACTATTTTTGTTGCTGCTTCATAACTGTAATGTTGCTACTGTTATGAATCGTAATGTAAATATCTGATATGCAGGATGGTCTTAGGCTACCCCTGTGAAAGGGTCGTTCGACCGCCAAAGGGGTTGCAACCCACAGGTTGAGAACCACTGTTCTAAGGGGAGACTGCACTTTGCACTGCTTATTTTATTATTATTATTGATATTATTTTTTTATTAGAAACACTTCCAGTAGACCTAGCTATCATACAGTATCTGATTTAATGGGATTGACAGCCCTTTATAGACATAGCCTGAAGTGATCACAAGTCTTGGCATCCTCTAGTAGCCTTGGTGGGAATTAAAATAGAAGCACTGCTGTAGTCATTAAGTGTTTTTAAATATTGGGTATATAATTAATATTGAATTCAGTGATACTTCCCATAATCATATAACATCTGCTTTACTTCTCACTCTGGTAGCTTCTTTGATATTATTGTATTAAATGCTAAAAACTGTTCATGGACCTGCTCTTCAATTTGATGCTGCTTTTAAAATTTTATATTTTTATTATACTATAGAAGCCCATTGCACGAAGATTTGCGCAATAGGCCTTCTTTCCCCTGGCTGCCCGCACCAGTTTTCCTCCAGCATCTGGGACCCAGGCCTTTGGTCCAGCCACAGTGAGGCTTGGCTTCTCCACTGCGTCTGCAGCGGAGAAGCCAAGCCTCTTCAGTCTTCAATCTTCAGTCTTCAGTCTTCACTCTGGCCAGAGCCTTCAGTCTTTGCTCCACACCTGCACATGCAAATTAACTGCTTTGTTGGGTTAATTTGCATAGTCACACTGATTGGCTGGTGGGCATAGCGAAGTGACACCAATTTGCATGTTTATCTTTTATTAGTGTAGATTGAGAGTGACATAATGCATTTAGAATCCTGGGCCAGTATTCCAAGTGGAAAGTAATAGCAAAAATATAAATATGCCATGATTTGTGCCTAGAGAACCTGGATGTACACTTGACAGATAGTGCTTTTGATTTGCAGTACTGATTTACTTTGTCCATCTAGATTAGTGGTTCATTTACTTTATTGTGCATCAGAATTGCCTGGGGAGTTTGATAAAATGCAGATTTCAAGACTCTACTTTTCAGAGTAGTTCTGAAATGGAACCTTGATATCTGCATTTTAAACAAGCACTGAAAGTGGCCCAGACAACACCTTGCATTATCTAAAGTCTCCAAAGTCCTTAAATTTAATTCCTTTGACCTTTAAAAATTAAAATTTAAAAATTAACATATGTACATTTTTAAAAAATTAACTCAAAGAAAGAAGAGTTTTCTGAGGTAGTTTCTCTAGATGGTGTATTTACTCTCTAGAACAGGGTTTACAACTTGGAGTTTATGGATAGTATTCAGAAGATCTATGAACCCTTGAAATTATATGTAAGACATATGCCCTCACCCTGCTAGTGTCTGGGCATGTGCTGGGGGATGGGGGAGGCCGGGGGGAGGTCAATGGGGGAAAAAGAGACATATGTACCACTATTTGTAATTCTCTAAACAATAAAAAAAGAAATTATATGTAAGAGCATGTATATACTTGTCTTTGGCGGGGGGTGGGGAGGGAAGAATAGGCCAAACCCTTTGGAATTCTAAAAGACTACAGGACCCAATCCAGATGAAGAATTACCTCCCCTGACCCAATGAATGGCATAATGAGTGTCAAAAATACCTAATTTCAAAAAGACAAAAATATTTGCTATCCATATATCTTTATTTTTATAAGTTTAGACATAGACATAATAATTATCAGCCTGGAAGGAAAAGTATAGCAACATTATACCTTTGCCTCCCCAAAATGCCACCAGATAAACCTATTAATAAAGCAAAGCTAAGTTTATTAAACTTACAGCAGTAAGAAAGAGCCCTACCTCAATAGTATTAGCTGTGTCTTTAAAAGGGGATGTCAAGGGAGAATATTTATAGGGTTTTAGTGCATGACTGTGTGATTTTGAAACAGGTCTTGCAAGGTAAAGAACAAGTTAGAATTGTACAGTGTTAAAATAAAACTAGGGGCCCAGTGCACGAATTTGTGCACCTTGGAAGGAACTGTGGGCTCGAGGCTGGCTGTGAGCACAGGGATGGGTCTCAGCACATCCTCCATGCCCCTACCCGGCCCTTCCTGCCACGGCCCCTGGTCCCCTCTCTGCCAGCAGCCCTGCTCCTGCCACCACTGCTCCCACATGCTGACGGTGCCAGCCCCGCTCACACCCACTGACAGCATAGAGCGATTGGGGCCGGTGCCAACAGCAGATGCAAGCAGGGCTGGCGCTGTCAGTGGATGCTAGTGGGCTGCTTCCCCGATCACCCCTCAGGATCAAGGGGAGGTGGAGAAGTCCTCAGGGGCTATCAGGGTTGGCAGCCACCACTTGCACCCGCTGACAGCACCAAGCAATTAGGCCAGTGCCAGATGCAAGCAGCAAGTGTAAGCAGCAGCTCCAGCGCCGGCTGTGAGTGCAAGCAGGGCTGGTGCCGGCAGCAGGTGCGAGAGACAGCTTCCAGCTCCAATCACCCCTCAGGAGCAGGGGCGGGGGTGGAGAAGTCCTCAGGGGCGATTGGGGTGGGAGCCACTGCTCGAACACACTGACAGTGCTGAGCGATCCGGGCTGGCGTCGGGCACCTGCAGTGGGTGTGAGCAGCGGCTCTGGGATCGGCAGCAGGTGCAAGCGGGGCCAGCGCCAGCAGCAGGTGTGAGTCCTGGGCGGGACTGCAGCATGCAGGAGCAAAGAATTTTCAGTAACCACTAGAGGCTCGCCGTGATGACAACGACCGGCACCCTGCCTTGGTCTGGCACCCCCACTCACCTGCTCCACCATCCTGATGACAACGACCGGCACCCTGCCTTGGTCTGGCACCCCCACTCACCTGCTCCACCATCCTGCCATAGCCAAAGCCCACCATGTTCAGCACACACCCCCTGGTGGTCAGCATACATCATAGCTACTGGTTGTTCAGTTGTTTGGTTGTTCCTCTGTTTGGTCTATTTGCATATTAGGGTTTTAGATAGATAGATAGATAGATAGATAGATAGATAGATAGATAGCTTTGGATTGGCAAATACAGTGACATGAGGGGCTTGAAGAGAGTCCTGGTAAACAGGCTAATTTTTTATTGAATTTATTGAGGTGACACTGGTTAACAAATTTATACAGGTTTCAGTTGTACAATTCCATAATACATCATCAGTACACTGTATTGTGTGTTCACCATCCCAAGTCAAATCCCTGTCCATAACCATTTATCACTCAATCACAACACTATTGTCCCTGTCCATGAGTTTTTCTCTTTTTTTCTTTTTTGCTCAATCCCCACTCCACCCAGTCCACCAACCCACCAACCCTGACAGCTGTCAGTCTGCTCTCTATCTATGAGTCTGTCACTATTTTGCTTGTTCATTCATTTTGTTCATCGATTCCATATATGAGTGAAATCATATGGTACTTGTCTTTCTCTGACTGGCTTCTTTCACTAAGCACAATGTTTTCCAGGTCCATCCATGCTGTCACAAAAGGTTAAAATTTCCTTCTTTTTTACAGCCAAGTAGTATTCCATTGTGTAAATGTACCACAGCTTTTTTTTATCCACACATCTACTGATGGACATGGGCTGCTTCCAAATCTTGGCTATCCTATATAATAAAAGCTTAATATGCTAATTGTCCAGTCATCCAGTTGGCCAATCAAAGCATAATATGCTAATGATATGCTAAGGCCGCTCAATCACTCGCTATGATATGCACTGACTACCAGAGGCCAGACAGTCTACTGGTGGATCAGTCGCTAAGATGTGCACTGACCACCAGGGGATAGATGCTCCAACCGGTAAGTTAGCATGCTGCTGGGGTCTGGCCAACAGGGACTGTGCAAGATGGGCTGGACATACCCTGGAGCCCTCCCGTGGTCCCTCCCCAGCTGGCCAACTTCCCACAGCCCGATTGTGCCCAATCATGCACCAGTGGGGTCCCTTGGCCTGGCCTGCACTTCTTGCAATCCAGGACTCCTAAGGGAGATGTCAGAGAGCTGGTTTTAGCCCAATACCACAGGCCAGGTTGAGGGACCCCACTGATGCACGAATTCGTGCACTGGGCTTCTAGTAAATAAATAATTTTCTGACTTGCTAGACAAAAAAAGAATAAATATAGGTGTATAAATAAGAAAACCAATATTAAGTAAGCATCTACACTTCAATCTATAAACCATTCAGTATGTATATCTGGCAATCAAATATTTTTTCAAGTACTTATTTATAAACTTTAAGGTGTCTTCCTTCTCACAAGAGATAAACCTTTCTGGCTCCAATCAAATATATGATTATACCTTATTTTTATTCCATCATAGGTTTCTACATGATTGGGCATGTGCTGGGGGATGTTTTTTATGTAAATCTACTAGTAGCCTGCCTTTATCTGACTTTGGAGATTTGTCCTCAAGAAATGAAAATTCTTTTTAAGATTAGCCTAAACTAGTATAATTGAAGGAATAAACAAAGAACAAATAAATAAATATATACACATACACAAACAAAACAAAAATCAAAAACAATCTATAATAGTGCTTTCCAACAGAAATTTAATAAAATCCATATATGTTACTTTAAATTTCCTAGTAGACATATTTAAAAAAGTAAGACAAAATAGGTGAAATTATTTTTTATTATTTTTAATCCTCACCTGAGGATATGTTTTATTGATTTTTAGAGTGAGAGAAAGGGAGAGAGAGGGAAGAACATTGATTGGTTGCCTCCCAGGGATCGAACCCACAACCTAGGTATATACCATGACCAGGAATTGAACTCACAACCTTTGGTGTAAGGGACAATGCCCCAACCAACTGAGCCACCCAGCCAGGGTAGGTGAAATTATTTTTAATAAAATATTTTACTTAACCCAATATATTCAAAATATAGTCATGTCAATGTATATACTCTGTAAAAAGCCTAAGAAAATATTTTTTCATATTTCATATTCAATATCTGGTATGCACTTTATAGTTACAACTTTTCTCAATTCAGACTAATCAGTTATCAGTGTTCAATAACCATGTATGGTTAGTGGCTGCCATATTGGACAACACATATCAATATCATAGTTCACTAGCTTTTATATTTGTACTTGTATCAAGATCATCTGGAAAGCTTATTATAACAAAGATTGCAAGGCCCTACTTCCAGAGGTTTTTATGGATCTGGATTGAGTCCAAGAATTTGAATTTCTAATAAGTTCCTTGATAATGTTAATGATGCTGCTCTGAGGACCACAGTTTTAGAATCATGACCATAGTTCTTTCAAAATCCAGCCTTGGTACCATTTTACCCCTATATTGACATGAATGATCAAGAACTGACCCTAGATTTTATGGTTGTTGTTGTTTTTGGTGCTGGTGTTATTGCATTTTTAGCATTATACATCACCATTTACCTGTTGGTTAAAACTGAATAATTATTTATGAAGATGGGTATTCCTTAGATCTTCCTGTCTGTTACTTTCTGAGTGCTTCATTTCAGGAGGCTGAACAGGGAAGAAACATTCATGGGCTTTCTTGTACTTAGTGAGTATTTGCAGAGCTGTCTTAATATCATATCCATACACATGCTCTGATCTGTAAGCACAAAATAACATTTTTCTGGTTAACAACCTGTCAATCAATAAATTGACAATCTGCCCAGAAAAAAATCAAAGCTTTAATAGTAATTAATTTGATTTTTAAAATATACTCATTGATTTTACAAAAAATGGAACTTTAAAATAATAAATTAATAGCTCACTTTTTTGGCTCAGTGGAAAATAAGCATAACTTTAAAATTTTTTATGTTGTTTAAACTATGATCTAAATGTATCTCTAGATGTGGGCAAGTCCTGGACACCAAATTTTAGATGGTTCTGTTCCTTTGTAAAAGATGCAGTTCCCTCGTAACCCTATATGGTTAAATATTTCATTTCCCTTGTCTCATTTCCGAAGGGAAGCAATGAGGAGTTAATACCTGGTCTTTTAACTTTGTTTTTGTCATAAGAGTACAAAAACAGCATCAGAGCCTCCTTTGGCCCCTCCTGTGTCTGAAGAAGAAGATGAAGAAGAGGAAGAAGAAGAAGATGACAATGAACCCCCACCAGTTATTGCACCAAGACCTGAGCATACAAAATCAGTAAGTAACAAGTGACTATTTCCAAATGATTCAAAAGATGTCATTTGGAACACTCAGATAACCAGAGTCTAGTTAATCAACTAGTACCTATTGAACATCTTACTATATTCCAAAACTTGGGATACAAGATTAGCACTTGACAATTAGGGAATAATACCAAACAATATACAAATAAGTGCTAAGTTATAAAACTGCTCCAGAGATTAAGATAGAGAAGAAAATTCATGTGAATCAAATAGGAAGACTTGCATGAGCAGAGGCACTAGTACTAGAATTAGGACAGCTTATATGGGGGTCACAAAGGACTAGCTCCTCAGAGCTTTCAAGGACAGTATATTTGTACAGAGGTATATGCCATGTACCAGGCCTATATAGGAGGCAACACTTGGTTGCCATATTCATGTTGCTCAATTCAGAACAGAGTAAACAACATAAGTATATACCATATACCTATGCTCAAGTGTTGCTTCCTCAGGAAAGCTTTCTTTGTCTTTCCTAGTCTGAGCTAAGTACCCTTCTTCTTTGCTGCCTTTAAGACAAAAATATCACATTATACTAATCTGTCATCTTCCTTCACTTAGACTGGGAGCTCCTCAAAGGCAGGGATTGTGTCTTCTTTTCCTGTATGCCCAGCTCTAATAAACATAAAGTGTTTTTTTAATATAAATCACTTTTTTTATAAAGCTCACTGAAGTTTGGGGTTCAGGGTAGGAGGAGGGATAAGTAGACAGCACAGAGAATTTTTAGGACAGTGAAAATACTTTGCATAATGCCATAAAGATAGATAAATCTCATTATGCATTTATCCAAACCCATAGAGTGTACTACACTCAGAGTGAACTGTATATAAATTATGGACTTTGGGTGATTATGATGTAAGTGTAGGTTCATCAATTGTGACAAATGCACCAATCAGGTAAGGGGATGTTGATAATGGGTGAAGTTATGCATGTGTGGGGGTGGGGGTATATGGGAATTCTCTGTACCTTCCCCTAAATTTTGCTGTGAACCTAAAACTCCTTGAAAATTTATCTTGATTAAAAAAAAACAACACAAAAAACTCACTGATATGAGAGTGTCTTGACTTCATACTCTTTCCTTGGCCTGCTGTTTTAATTGTAGAACTTCTTTTCTTGTCTTTAAGATCTATACTCGTTCTGTGGTTGAATCCATTGCTTCACCAGCAGCACCAAGTAAAGAGGTCACACCACCTTCTGCTGAGAATGCCAATTCCAGTACTTTGTATAGAAATACAGATCGACAAAGGAAAAAATCCAAGATGACAGATGAGGAGATTCTAGAGAAGCTGAGTGAGTCTTTTGCCATCATTACTTTTTTCATGGAATTGTTTCTCTTTAAATAGAATTGTAATTGATTCTTTAGAAGTTTGAATCTGCTTGTATGAACTCCATACTCCCTGAAGTCACAAGATGTAAAGTTTGGGACTCACTGTGTTTTCTAGATCACTCTCTTTCTCACACTCCTAATTTGACAAAAACTAAATATTTTCACTTGAAAAATTAATTAAGCTGAAAACTTGACAAAATGAATTAAGCAGTAAGTTTTATTTTAAGATTACACTCCCAAAAGGAAGAAAATAGTCTGATGACATATCCTATGATCATACCCCAAGGGCTCCCAACTGACCAATCATGACAGATAAGTCTATCAAAACTCCACAGAGTCCATCAAAACTGGAAGCCACAATAATATATCCTTTTCCCTTAATTTTAGGAGCATTTCTATAGGGAGAGGGGCGATGGTCAGAAAATGCTGACAGCCCAGCCTCCTTTCCACAGTGTCATTAGTGTGTACATGCTCGTGTATACACAGTCACTCCAGTTTTGCAAAAACACTCTTCCACTTATCTTGCTGGGTCAAAGAGCTTTAAAAAACATTCTCTGCTGAAAGAGTCAAAAGTCTATGAAATATATTCATTAAAATCATATTACAAAAGCATTTAACAAACTACTAGTTATCTGCAATCAATGCCCTCAATCTAGTTACTACTTATCCTTCAAAACTCAGCTCAAATGTTGCCTCTTCAGGAAAGCTTTCTTTGTCTTTCCTAGTCTGAGTTAAGTACCCTTCTTTTTTGCTGCCTTTATGACAAAAATATCACATTATACTAATCTTTCATCTTCTTTCACTTAGACTGGGAGCTCCTCAAAGGCAGGGATTGTGTCTTCTTTTCCTGTATGCCCAGCTCTAATAAAGTGTCTGGTACATATAAAGGCACTTAACAAATTCTTCTTGAGTAAATGGATGAAAAAATAAGCAAACAAATATATCTTTACTGGGCTTCACCTTGTCTGTTGTATAACAGAATCATTTAAGGAAACAATTTCCTGTCATCAAGAAACTTGCAATTTTATTTGGAAGATAAGATGTAATCATGTGATACAATTAGTGAATAGAAGGCCATTTTATTTCAAGCAAATGTCTATCTAAAAGGTTGCTGAAAAGAAAGAGAGAAGTTCAGGGGAGCTATAGGTCACAGGAAAACTCTACAGACAGGGTCATTGGTCCATTTGGCATTGTCTAGAGACGTATATTGTCACGACACAGGGAGTGCGGCAGGCATCTTGTGGGATAGACTGGGGATGGTTCTAAGTTCTCTACAGTGTAAATGACAACACCCCTCATTTCCCCTCAACAGTGCTGAGGTTGAGACATTCTGAGCTAGGGGTATTTTAGAAAGACAAAGGTTTAGGTTGCAGCTGTCTGTAAGCACTCATAACTGGAATTGCTGAACTTAGTGCTAATACTATTTGCTGTATTAACAGTAATTATTCCAACTTATTGAGTATTTTATGTGGTGGCCACTTTCCATACATTATCAGGTTTACTTTTCACAATAATCCCTGTGTTAGATTTTAATAGCCTCCTTTTACAGATCAGTGAACGTATGCCTCAAAAAAGTTTCACTAATGACTGGCAGAGCCAGAGTTTGAATTCAAATAGCTTACACTATTTCCACTACCCATTTTGCAACTGCATGTCTCAACTGTCTATATATGTAAAAAGAAAGGGAAAATGAAAGAATTGCCTTAATAATTTCAATTCAATTACTCAATTGCCTCAATTTTTTCCTTTATCTTGTACATATAAACATGACCTATGAGATTTATTAGATGTTAAAAACCTAATAGCCTAGTTTTGGTAAAAATGACTATTATTTGGTATCTGTTTTAGATTTATTATAATTAAATTTATAGCTTCCTTAATTTCAGTGACAGAGAAAGAAGCATTATTTTCATGGGCCCAAATCTTGCTTTGCTTACAAACGGTAACAGTACTGGATCTGTTTACTTTATAATTTGTTGTTTACTCTGTTCTGAATTGAGCAACATGATGAAGAGGAGAAAACTACCTTTGAATTTTTTTAAATTAATAATTGTTTTCTTCTCTGTTGGAGAATGCTTGGGCCTAGAGAGAATCATTTTCCCCCTAGCCCAGTGATGGCGAACCTTTTGAGCTCGGAGTGTCAGCATTTTGAAAAACCCTAACTTAACTCTGGTGCCGTGTCACATATAGAAATTTTTTGATATTTGCAACCATAGTAAAACAAAGATTTATATTTTTGATATTTATTTTATATATTTAAATGCCATTTAACAAAGAAAAATCAACCAAAAAAATGAGTTTGCGTGTCACCTCTAACACACGTGTCACCTCTAACACGCGTGTCATAGGTTCGCCATCACTGCCCTAGCCAGTGGGCCACCTATAACAACCAATCCTACCTTGTACTCACAAGACCTTGGCAGGGAGAACCTCTAAAGAAATGGGAGATTACTTCTCATGAATCAGATTCAAGCTGAGCTGTACTTCTTAGTTTGCAAAGTCAGTCTTTCCTATTCCTGCTCCACTGGCACCCTCTAATGCCCTTTCTCTGCCACTTTCTCACTGTGACCTTTGACGAGTTATTTAACCCCTCTAAGCCTCAGTCTCTTATCTGTCAAATTGGGATATAAATCATAACTACATATTACTACTCTCTATATAGGATGGATTTTATGGAGCTCTACCAATGGCTGAAAGGACAGGTATTGGAGTCAGAAAGGCCCCAATTTAAATTACAAGACAATTGCCAACAGCTGTCTCACTTTGGGAAAGTTATTTAACTATTCTGGACCTCTTTTTCCTCATATAAAATAGCTATAATAATCGTACCATATTCATAGCATTGTGATAATTAAATGAGAATAATGCATGTAAAAATCTGGTACAAAATATTTAGTTAATAAGTGGTAGTAACGTTCCTGTTCCCTAACCCTGACTACTGAGCGGCACGGACCTCAGAGGCTGAGGAGAGCAAGAAGAAGCGAGGTGGCAGGAAGATGCTGTGCTTTGGCATAAATTGCAATTGATTAGGGATCGTTTCTCTGACGCAAGTTAGAAGTGAGAGTTCAGATAAGTGAGACCGCCATTGCTGTTTTGAACACCTCAGAAGGGGAGAATGAATTTATCAGGAGTGAAAAAGAAGAGCTTGCTAGGAGTCAAAGAAAATAATAAAAAGTCCAGCACTAAGGCTCCTTCTCCTTCCAAATGCAAAGACCACTCTGATGAGAAGTCCAAGGATCACTCTAAAGATAAAGGGGCCACCAAGGACTTGAGCAAGAAGGATTGTGGCAGGGATAAACTCAGAAGAGCAGCGCTTCCACTGGTAGCAGCAGCACCAGGTCTCGGTTCAGCTCTACCTCCAGCTCTGACTGCAGTACTAGCACTGGCTCAAGCAGCGGCTCTACCTCTTCATCAGCATCAAGCTGCTCAGGAAGTTCCAGCACATCCAGAAGCTCCAGTTTCAGCAGCTCTTCCGGCTCTCCAAGTCCTTCTCAGTGCAGACATAACAACAGGTGGCGTACCCGCTCCAAATCCAAACCACCCAAAAGAAATGAAAAGGAAAGGAAAAGGCGGAACCCTTCCCCTAAACCAGTGGTCAGCAAACTGCAGCTCTTTGGCCCCTTGAGTGTGGCCGCGAAGTTTCAATCGCACTGTACTCGAGCGCCTGCACGTGGTATTTTGTGGAATAGCCACACTCAAGGGGCTGCAGTTTGCCGACCACTGCCCTAAACTCACCAAAGTACACATTGGTAGGCTCACCAGGAATGTGACCAAGGATCACATCATGGAGATATTTTCTACCTATGAGAAAATTAAAATGATTGACATGCCTGTAGAAAGGATGCACCCCCATCTATCTAAAGCAGTGGTTCTCAACCTTCCTAATGCCGCGACCCTTTAATACAGTTCCTCATGTTATGGTACCCCCAATTTCATTGTTACAAATTGAACATAATTAAAGCATAGTGATTAATCACAAAACAATATGTAATTATATGTGTTTTCCGATGGTCTTAGGTGACCCCTGTGAAAGGGTCGTTCGACCCCCAAAGGGGTCGCGACCCACAGGTTGAGAACCACTGATAAAGGCTATGCATACTTGGAGTTTGAGAATCCAGATGAACCTGAGAAGGCACTGAAGCACATGGATGGAGGACAAATTGATGGCCAGGAAATCACCGCCACTGCTGTTCTGGCCCCCTAGACTAGGCCACCCCTCAAGCGATTCAGCCCTCTCAGGAGTATGCTACCACCACCCCCCATGTGGTGTCAGTCGCCTCCATGGATGAGGAGAAGGTCACACTCCCAGAGCCACAGGTGCTGGTGCCTCGGTGATCCTGCTTCCTCGACTGCTGCAGCCACAGGAGCCACTCCAATTCCTACCGATAAGCAAGCCACCGAAGCTCTGCCCTGAAACTTATATCCCATCCAACTCAGTTCTGTGACTTTTCTAGCTGAAGGACAGTCAGTAGGAAACAAATCCTCAGTCAGGGGCAGGCTTCCAAAAGTAGCATTGAGATGTTTCCTTTGAAGGCCAAGTTTGGCTGCAGAAGTGTAGTTCATTTGGGGTTGTGCCTAAGAAGATGCTCTCCAGTTTCCTGAATAGAAAGTTCCCACGTTTCCAGGCTCTGAGAGTCAGTTTAGTGGCAGAGCCAGCAAGAACAGAGCAGGGTTCCAGGTGGCAGTGCCACCCCAGCCTGGGAGCACATTTTTCCATTCCATCGATGACCTAGGGCCAGTCTAGTAGCCTGAGGATCCTTCAGAAAAGGGCATGCTTTTGTGCAACTGCTGTTCCTATTAACCTGGCCTCACTCCCCTGCTTGAGCTCTTTTGACTTCTAGAGTTAAACATCCCATATTAGTTGCTGTAAATGGTTGTGTTTCCACATGTACTCATGCACATATATCCATATGGCACATCTCCTTTTTCTCTGAAATTGGTGAGCAAATTGAGAGCTCTGCAA